AATCGATCTGTCGTAGGCCGCACTAAACGAAAGGATTTAGTATAATTTTCATTCATGAAATGCTTTAGAAGGAATATTGGAATTTTTTGATTCCAAATTAGACAATATTATCCTTGTCTAGCGATAAATTGCTTACGAAATATTTTTGCCAAATTCCAATCGTATCTATTATTGCGTATTCGCAATCGCTGAAGAAATGGAATACAAGAAACAAATATTCATTGTTAAAAATCAACCCCTACAAAATAGATATTAATATTAATAAGGGATATCATTGGAAGCAATACCGTTTTATCCTCTTTGTCCACAAATTCGTCATCTATTTCTTCTGATTTCAATGAGTAGATAGCTCCGTTTTATGCATCCCCAATGCAAATAGGAATACAAAAATAATTGATTGAAAAAAAAATGAAAATCGATAAATATTTCCCCAAAAAAACGATATTAGTAAAGATATTATCTATATTAACTAAAAAATATATTTAAAAGAATATATATAAAATTGAATTTAGATTCTATTATATATTTATATATATAATTCTATATTATTAATTAATTGTTAATAATTTTATAGATTGATATATATGGATCGAATATCTATAATCAAATAATTTAGATAAAGGGATGGAATATAATATATAATATATATTTATTTATCTATATAGAATAATGAATTGCTAATTAAATATATTTATTATATAATTAAATATTAGATTTGCGATCGATAGATTTGCACTATTTTTTAATTTAGGATAAATTTATTTTTTCGTTAGATATATATATATTTCACATATTATTTGAAAAGGCAGAGAATTCAAATAATCATGGTTCAATTTCCTCGGAGAACGAAATAATGCTAATGATACCTCTTACAATTTGGGATCAATATTTTTTGGTCTATATATTCTTTATTAATCAAATTGTATGTGCAAGAAATATATGAATATGATATTCAATTAATATTAAATGAAATTATTTCGTTTTATTGCCATATAATAATTATATCTATTGATATTAGCAATATATATATACATTTATTTATTTCAATATATTTGACATTCTGTTAAATAAAATATACAAATATTTCCAAAATAAATATCAATAATATATTATTAATAAGCCTAATATATATATATAAATATTTTATTAATATATTTTTTAAAATATTTAGAATTGAAATTCATTGATAATTTTATATTCGATATTTATTAATTCAATATTCGATATATTCAATAAATAAAAGAAAATATGATAGAATATTATGATTAATTAATTATCTATTTGTAATATATATAATTTGATTATATGGTTTCTCGAAATTAAAAATGAATATATTCATTGAACTATTTAGCTTCTTTCATCGTTTAATATCTAGACGGGAATGATATTTAGTATATTTGTTTATGCATTCCTAGAAAATTTTAGATCATTTTTCAGATATTCATAAAAGATTATCTCTATGGGATTTGAAAGGAGATATTGGTCAATGATTATTCTTAATTTTATTGAATTTTCCAGATTTAGTAATTTTAATATTCTCCGAATTCATATATATTATAAAATATATTATAAAAATAGATTCTAATTAATATATATATATTAAAATAACAGAAATCTTATAATTATCCAAGAATCTTTTAATTAGGACTATATTATTATGGTCATGAATTTTGTGGTTTTCGATATTATTTCAGTAAGTCCTCGGGTGGTATATTGTGATTGTGGTTGTATATTATAAATCGGTCTTTGTGGCTAATTTCTTTTGGGCATATTTTTCTTCAACTATGCATTCCATTGCTATAGATCAACCTAAAAAAGATGTTTTGGCGCTTGGCCAGGACTCATATGATACGTTGTTGTATTGCCTATAAAATTAAATCGTTTAGAATAGGGTTACCATCATAAATTGTATGGCTAATAATGTTGTGAATAGCTTCATTCATCCTATATAACCATTGTTGTCTAGGTTGCCCAACTTGACATTTATCGATCTGGATGGGGTCCCCATTGCCTATTTGATATGAAATATGTCTTAGAGGCTTTGAGACCTCCGTTCTTAAAATATATCCGGCCAACTTTATTCGACTCTCATCTGATTCTTGAAAAAGAGATTTGATATTTTTGATAGATTGATTCGGAAAAGCAATTTCAGGAGCAAATTCATAGACCCTTATATGTGTATTTGCGCCTATCTCTAAATGTAACCCCAACCTAGTCATGTAGTCAAAGAATTTGCAATGTTGCACCTTATCGAACACCTTTTCCCAATCAATAAGGGCCATATGAACAAAGTACTAAAGGTCGGCATTTACGATTCTACAAAAATGAACAATTTATATATTCCTTGACAAAATAATATCAATCGAAAAAACGATACCTAGGCATAGCTGCCTCCAGAATCTGACTTTTGGTGAATAATTCAATTAAAGGTTGCATGGGTTCATTTGTTCTAGTTGCCTCGAGACTCCATTGTGGCAGAAAATAGTTGCCTCGAGACTCCATTGTGGCAGAAAATTCAATCAACATTTCTAGAGAATAGGATGGCTAATTGGAACCTATTTGCAGCCGTTTGTTTGAGAATAGAAAAATGCATTCGCAATGGAGCCAAGAATTGTGGCAATGCCTTTTGAAATTCGACACAGAGTATGTATAATCTTTTTGTTGTAATATTGCCATGTTATTTGGGAATTTTTCCTTTGTTGATTTCTTTCCTCCATTTGTGAGCTAAGGGATCTATATAAATGAAGAGATTGACCAGAAATTCCCTTCGAAGAGAATTGCAATCATAGCCGGATACAAGGAATATGAGCACTCATCAATCATTGAGGCAATGATCTTGTCATTTTTTTTGCCCAAGGAGAGTTGTCCAGCCTTTGTTGATGATGGGGTTTGAATGATTGGACACATTTTTTATTGAAGGCTCTTGGGCCTCGAAGAAAGGCAACTATAGGGAACACATTGATGCGATGGAGAATGCCATTCTCTATTCGGATTATTTTCGAAAGCGTTTATTCCTATTCGATCAAAAGATATCCATTAGAAAGACCCGTCGAATGATTCCCAACGATGCCATAAGAGAATTAGAAGACCAAATAAGGTTAAGAAAATGCCAAGCGCTTGCGAGGCACGCTTTGGACAGCAATTCGCGCCCATCAAGTTGGACTATGGTTTTTCGGGCAGGATGCGGACGAGAGCGAAGAAGGGTGAGAAGCCTGAGCTGCAATCTCCCCACAATCTATCGAACGCTCAAAAATATGCGAAGAACTATGAATATTCGCCAATTCAGGTTGATTAATCACCGTCTCTTTCCAAAATTCAAAAAAAGGATGAACTGAGACATGTGCGACCACTATGAGACATGTGCGACCACTATGCAAATTATGCATGGAAGATCAGGCTTCGCACGCGATCTTTCTTAGACAAAACGATGAAGGAGATTCTGCACATGTGTCCAAGATATTGGCAAGGGTTGTTTGCGCGACATGATCGCCATTGCTTCAAGACAATTGATCGTCTATATATCCTAGAAATTTGAGGCGAGTACTTGTGGGAAGAGCAGGAAAAGGCCGACCCTCTTAGCTGCTCAGATGCCAGCTGTCTGTTGTTTTTGTTTTTTTCCGGTCAACATTGATTTTAGATTACTTTATTTTGCCTAATTGAATGGAACCCAAGTTCGCCCTTCACGAAGACCAATTGCACAAGGAGCTGGTGCAACGCTTGCGGATAATTCGTGCCTATGAGTGGCGTCAATTGAGTGCAACAAGGGAGCAACACTTCATGCGGAAACGATTGGATTCCTTGCCTCCTGACGAGTGCTACCTGCACTGCGATTTTGCTGAGAACATTGGTGTGCCCCTATCTAACAAACCACCAAATTTCTGATGAATTCCATGGCAGTCAGCAAAAAACGCTTTCCATCTTTGGAGCCTATGTAATCCAGCGAGAGAAACGGAGTTCCAAAATGAGAAAATTGGCAGTGGTTTTGGTAGACGATATCATCGAAAAATCAATTCTATATGTAAACACATGCATTGAGAGAATCCTTTCCTTTGTTAAGGGGCTTGGGGAGCTGAAAACATTGCGGTTCTGTCTCGATTCTAGAATCATTTCAGAAGTGCGCCTGTCTCGATTCTAGAACCATTTCAGAAGTGCACAATATGTGTTTTTCCATTCAATACCGCTCCAATATCAACAAAGAACCATTGCCCATTATCTAGTTGAAAAATATGGAAAGGGCCAGATGACAATGAGATCTGTGCAAGGCTGAGAGCTTGGGTCACAGAGTACTTGCGACAAGATGGCGTATTAATAGATGAAACAAAGATTTTAATTTATGTTTTCCAAATCGCAGCTGATCGAGAGGATAAGGCCAATCCTGTGGATTTGAAATTTAATTGTGAAATATTTGATCTAGGGTTGCGACCAGTTGAGAAGTAAGAATTTGAATTTGCTAATCATGTCATTCGTAGCTATTGTTAGGAAAATGTCCCTGGTCGCAAAAAGTGCGA